AAACTTGACTAGACTTGTATTCTTTCATTATAGAAATTTCAACAAGCTGAAATGATTCGTTTATTGTTAGGTCAAAGTTAATGGATGTTTGTAACGAACATCTTCATTCATGCCGAGGATCTTGGTGGCATAGAAAAAGCAAAGAGGAGGTCGCTGAACTTGTAGAAAGAGTATGTTTGAACAGAGGTAGTATTAGTAGCCTTAAATTTCAATTATTCTTAGGTCTGGTCATTCGGCCCAGATAGAGCCAGAGCCAACATCCTGTTCAATGGAATCCCAAGCTATCAGAGAAAGTCTATTTGGGAGAGCCGTAAGTATCTATCTGTCTGGGTGAATTTTCACGGAAAATAAGAATTTAGTTTAAGGTTTTTGTAAGTGTTTTAAAGATGTCTCTGTTGAATTATATACATTTTACACTACACCTAGCAAGTACTTTAATGGTTATCTACCTATTCACTTATTTATACCATAAAAATCCAAGCGACACCACACTCGCCAGTCCCTAGTCCGAATCTGATTTCCAGGATCCGATCTTGATTGCCGCCCTTTCGACCAGGCCATCATATCCGGTTTTGAACTTTTTGTGACGGCTGGCCCATTATGTCATGAAATAATGAGAGGTGTCGCGGTGATCGTTGAGGAATGGACTGTCGATGAAGAGGTGGGTTTTTAGGTATATCTGCTTTTAATTATATTTCTATCGGGTAAGGTCAAATCAATAAAATGTAGGATGCTGCTGTAGCTGGACAACTGATGACAGCAATGCGAGCAACATGTAAAGCTGGTGCGGAGAAGCTGGCATTGCGACTCGTTGCTGCGATGTATAGGTGCGTCGCTTTGAAAACCTTTGAAAATAAACTCGAAAAAATGGCGTCTCAGAAGTTTTGCACTAATTTTGGCTCATCTAGTCGCGCAGAGTTTAGGTGCACTGTGACGACTGCAAGCCAAGCGCTTGGAAAAGTGCATGCTGTACTCGCTCAGAGAAAGGCTAAGGTAATTTTTCTCAATCCACCTTATTTATTTCCTATTTTACTTTCCTAATTGTTAGATTGGTTCGCCTTTGAAAATTAATTGCTATGTTGCATACAACAGAACTTTATTTCGTATTTTATTCACGAACTTGATCTTATCAGAAATAAATTGGGAATAGGTTTTTGTAAATTTGCGATTTCCCTATAATTCTATAGATTGCACGTTTAGGTCTTAAATGAGGATATTAATGAGGCCACTGGTTTGTTTGAAGTGACAGCCTTAATGCCGGTTGTGGAGTCCTTCGCATTCTGTGACCATTTGCGAAAGAACACATCAGGAATGGCCAGTGCGCAACTAGAATTCAGCCACTGGCAACTGATTGATGAGGTAATCAATTATTTTTTCACCTTCGAACGACAACCGATTTTTCTTGTAGGACCCATATTGGCAACCATCAACCCTAGAAGAAATGGAAGAATTTGGGGTGAAAGGCGATTCACCAAATCATGCACGAGGCTATATGGATGCTGTGAGACGTAGAAAAGGATTACCAACGGATGACGTTATCGTGGTTTCAGCCGAAAAGCAGAGAAATTTGAAGAAAAACAAGTGAAAACTAGTCGAAATATATCTTAACGTGTAGTTGTTTTGTTCCAGATTCTGATTTTGTGCGAGAACTGGTCTCCGTAGCCTGGTCTTATCATTGTAGAGCTCACCTTTCAGTTATT